ACATCACACGTCCTCATAGACCATGTTTCGCAACCACACAACACCAGCCCATACTTATATCCGGTACACAAGACCCTTGAGACCCAATGATATGCCTCTTTGGGGCCACAAGTAATGCCATTTAGTAAACGTGATTAGAGCCTTTGAGATTCATCCACCCGCTGTGTTGCGAGAGGCCAGACCATCCAGTCCTCCCAATCAGTGGTTTTGCGAGTGATGAGCCGTCTTTTTCATTTACCGGTTTCACTGACCGGCACTTCCTTTTGCCCAGTCGACCGGTATAAAGCACGACTGTTTCCAGTGGCGAAATGCTTCTCGATTTCCTGCGTGTTCGGTGGCCACCAACGCTCTCATTATTCCTTTAGGCTGCTCATTGTACAGTGTTTGAGGTATTCACATGCTCCTGGTACTAATCTCCTGGTAGAGAATTCCTGGCATCAATCGGTGCTAGTGATTTCGGCGATATCCAGTGATCGTCTGGTCATATCGGAAAAGGTCGGACAGACAGCGCTGGACGCCGCTAGCATAGCTTTCTTCACATATTGCCGTGCTCCATCCACGTACTTGCTACCAGTACAGTGTTGGTTTAGTGTAGGAATTTTTTGAGCTCTCTCAGGTCGATACTTCTTAGGTATGATAATTATCCGGCGATAGTGTATTAGCCTGATTTGTTACGGCTTGAAGGAAAACGAACTCTCGGGCGTATTATCAATTAGGCATGATCGGAATCGAGTTTGTGCCCCAGAAGGAACGACAATCTTGAATTATGGCTCTCTATTAGTGGCTGATGGTTGCGTCATCCATCTGGATCCACGTTCGATTTACACTTGGTGGCCGCCAACTTGCGCGATGGGAGCACTTATGTTGGAACTTCGTCTGGTTGAAACAGTTGATGATCGGCACACAACTGAAGGTGTCGCTGTCCATTTTTCTGTTCTGTATCAACCTCCCAGATGTGATTACAAGGAGCTCAGACGGCCGACTTGGGCATCCATATTGCCAACTAGGATCACAATGCCAGTGCTTCTTGCTCGACCAATAAGCCAGAATAGCTCTCGGTAGAAAGTATTTTTCTCAGTGTTAGAACAGCAGTCCATTTGGGTACAATTCGACACCACAAACAGGTACCTTTTATGTCGAGAGTCATTGAGCCTGATTGGACTGGATAACAGGCAACGACTTTTCACCGAGATCCAACCCTGCAAAGTGCGTTCAGCTGTGGGACTAAGTGCAACTCCTATGCCATATATTCTACGGGGTGATCGCTACTGAATTACGAGACACACGGAAGAAGAAATGTAAAAGAACTGAGTTCGTCCCAAGCGTTTTGGGATGCATAACCATGCTCAAGATCTTGTTTGCGTGTTTCGGAGACAGAAAACATCAGTTTTAAAGGAGTACAAGGTTTCAGTGAGCGTTGTCTTTTTGTCGATTCGACATAGCTTACGAACGTATAATGGTTCTCATGGATTTAGAAAGGTGCTATTTTGTCCATTGTTAATAGGCAGCGGGGTGCATATGGCTCATCGGTCAGATAACTGAAAAAAATCATTCAGCTGTAACACCTTTCCGATGCCTAGCTGCCATGCTACCGGAAGAAAGCACGAGGGTTGGGATACTGCCAGGTTGCCCAAGCCTAGATAGGGGAAGTCGAGAGGCAGAGGTTGGGCTCGAATCACAGACCTTCCGGTCAGTAAATTCGCGCTCCAACCACTTGGACCAGGTAACTGACAATCAGACTACTGAGCAACGGTTGCTTGTGTGGTGGGAAGAGGTTCCGGAGACATCGTTGGACACAACTGTGCGGCCAAATGGTACTTCCCGGTTGCCCAGACCGAAGGAGGGGGTTTGGTTGAGGTATTTCACCTTGAGTCTTTGACTCAAAAGTCTGATCCACAGGCAGTGGGTATGTAGCGTTTTGTTCGGAGACGCTGTCCGGCCCTACTTTCTGACTCAAAAGCCACTCGCGAGGCAGCGGATGGTAGGGTTTTCTTTGGATACCCTGCCCGGAGCCGATGACTCAATGGTCTGACTTCGGCTGTGGGGGTCTGGTTTAACCTGAGGCTAGAACTGATTACATACCCCATCCACTTTTCATTTCTTCACAGTGAGGCTTCCAAGTAAATCGTGGTTGTACAGTAGCAAAGCGTCAGTGTTGATCACTGGTATTATGCTGTCGGTGATGATGATGATGGTGGCGCAGAGAATGAGGCATAATTGTCTGACTCCTAAGGCGGCTGCACGCAGGTACCTTTCGAGCAGTCCCAGACTCTTTGATTTAAAAGCATTTCGACCGCATTGGGTAATGCGCTGGTGATTGCAGACAACCCTTGGGTGACCAGAGAGTTTGGTTTTTATGGTCGACCTCTAAACCAATTTTCGCTCCCCGGTTTAGGCTCCGGCGACCTAGCCGTCCTGACTTGGTTTAGGACGAAGTTCCAGCCACTGTAGCACGGGGCATCCCTACAGCACTCAAGCCCGACTATCACATAAATGTGTCCGCTTTAGGTCAGCTTTCGGACAGTGTGCATATTCCCGGTACTCTAGTAATAAAAGTAGACCTATGGCAAGTCACGTTATTTGTCTTTATTGCCCATTAAACCGAAAATCTTTCAAGGCAGTACATCTTAGAGGCAAGAGCCAGCACAAGTTGATTTCTTCCTCGACAGTGGTCATGCTGGTCGCCCATACAGCAGCAAAAGCAAACTGCACCGCACAGCTTGCCGTTTATGGGTTAATCCCCTCACCAGCACCACTGATAGTTCATCTGCGACATCCGTCCATCAGTTTCAGGGAATCGATTCCATACACTGGCATGGGTAAATCTTGAAATGTTCTTATCTTCCTGCTTACTTTGCGTTATTGTCTGTTGATTACGTAAGACCTAGTCGGCCTCCTCACGGCTATCAGTACTGTGAGGCTAGCCAGTTGTTGTCCCGATGGAAACCCGATTTCCGACATGACAGGCACTTTGATCACAAATCTAAAGAATGGGACTTATTGTGTATTTATTGACACAACTTCTAGTGGCGCTTTTCTGTTGTGAGGAGACGACCTAATAGTGACGCGGTTGTTTGCATATCTCAGTAGCTAGCTGAGCTATACTGGAGGATGCCAATGCGGTACCCGCAATATCAGGTTTGTCAGTAGATTGAGGTTATACATACGGTCCCCTGGCTCTTAGGTTGAGGGCTGGAGCGAGTGAGGCAACCTGTTCCCTAAACGTTAGATTACTATTGTAGTCTTACATCACCCCTGTCTTCTTTTGGTTGGGCCTTCAGGCCCAACGGCTTGGTTGGAAGCCCTAATCGTCCTCCTGTGTGGGTTTAGGCTCTCCAACAGTATTTCATCCACATACCACCATGAATTACGCATGCACATGTATCTTCGTGTCACATCAGCCGTCGCGTACTGTGCATCAGCCTGGTCACCTTATTCGCTGCATGCAGGAAGAAGGATAAGCGGAAACATTAGACTGATAATGCTTTCTCGTATTCTTCATTAGGTTTCCTTACCTCCCTTCTCAGTCCATTTGATGATCACTCTTTCGTGTAGTCAAGCCGTAGGCACCTGAGTCCGGTACTCATGAAAAACCCACTTGGTCTCCACTCTTCACATCTACTGCTCCAGTCTCATTGGCCATACGCCGTTCCCTGTTCCTTTTGCAGCCTTCACTGTTCAAATCCTTAAGTTGCTCTCGTGCACACTGTTGACAATTTATCGATAGACAATTGCTGCATTTCTGAGACGCGCATGCAAGGTCCAAGTACATTAGTTGGATTTACAGCACCCTCGCTATCGCTAGCAAACTTTAGGTGATTATCTAGCTCCCACAGCTAGTTGCGCCCTTGTTACTGCAGCATTCGGCTCCTGAGTTAGGGCTTTACTTGACTGCATACAAGTTCCTCTGTGCCGTTCATATGACCAATTTCGTAAGGACCCGTACCGGTCAAAATGCTCACTGCCTTGTTCGTAATGTTTGCTTATGCCAACCAACGGCTGCTCTGATTCTGTGATGGGCGCTTTCTATAGAAATAACTACAGAGTTCAGTTATAGCCCTAGTTGCAGGAAATCTCAATGTGAAAGCAGGGCGGCCCAGTTCACACGAGACGCGGTTTGATGACAAGTTTAGAGCAGGGCGGCCCAGTTCACACGAGACGCGATTTGATGACAAGTTAGAATCTATGTGTAAAGATAATGTTGACCATCTACAAATCCTCGCTGATTGCCAGTTGTTCTCTAGCTTTACTGTGTTTAGAGCTGATGGACGCCGTTCTGCTACCTCCTGCTGTCGAACAACCGTGGACATGAATCAATCAAGTAGCAGTTAGCTACTTGGAGTGGGACTGCCAAACGTGTGCATTTCGACCATGCTCTCGTCCCATGCAGATTTTCACTGAATCTTCCAGACAAATCTAAGAAACAAAGTTCCCGTTTAGCAGTAAAAAAACCGCCAAGTGTTAAAGATGTACATCAGAGTGATGCTTTGAAATCGGCCATTTCGGAGGGCATTGCTAGCAACTGGCAACATATAAATACAGCTGCACGTGCAGTGCTTTGGAGCGTGCGCATGCTAACCACAGGATCTCAGAACAGTCACTGCCACGGGTCTTACAATTCAGGCCTTGGTCAAGTTTTTCGTTATGCTAGCTGCATATCGTACGACTACAGCTTCTCACGTGGCATATCCATTCAACTGATGTATCGACGGACACGAAATTGCGCGCGCAAGTTCAGAATAGTGTCTACGTCAATTATTAGGCCGGGCAAACAAGTGAGGGGGCTTCGGATTTTTGTAAGATGCAGAGCAACCCGCTGTTCGTCGGTACTCGGATCGATGAAACAAACAGGTATGGTGCGCTGTAAACAGTGTACCTAACGTAATTTATGCAGATGCGTTTGGCTTATGTTGCTCAACCTTTAAGTGTAGTGTCAATTCTTGTAGATGTTTTGCGTCAAACTAAGACTGATTGCCTCCTCTGTTTTGCTCTTTTTCTAGGTCGGCATATGACCTCGTGCTTCAACAAGAGGTTGCGATCAAGAAGTTAGCCCGCCCCTTCCAGAATGTCACCCAAGCCAAACGAGCGTATCGTGAATTGGTCCTAATGCGCCTCGTGAATCATAAAAATGTAAGTCGTCACTCGCTCTTTCTAGGTTTCTCACTTACAGAGCTGAGTTTCTTGCCTCAAACCACCGTTTCTGAGACTCTTTTACGGTTGTGTTAGCTACTGAGATATCGTTGTAATTTCCCTTTTGACGGTCTCTATTGTCGTGTTCGGGCTTAGCATGAAACGACACATTGAATCCCCAACCGAGGACTTCATATTAGAATTACCAACAAGTGGTGTCCGTGTGTTCGACTTCCTCATCAATACGGTTTGTGCAGCGGTCCTGGCTGCCATAATTTTGCTTATCAACGACGGCAGTGTTGGGAATAGATAGCCGTGACTGTTACGACACCCAGGCATATATAGGGACGTTGCTCCAATCAAAAACCTTTTTTCTCAGTGCCGCTTATTGTCTTTTCCACCTTGTGAGTTCAGGTCACTAGCAAACCGGCTCACTGCGCTATTTTGATGGCGGTTGACAACTGGGTGGACACTCATCACCCTTCGGTACGACCGAGTTTGTTCCAGGCAGGTGTTGTCCAGGCTTCACACATGGGATTATTTTCATGAAGGTCGATTGGTTGTGTGATATCACCGTGCGTTCACCAGCATCAACCGAGTTCTTTGAAAGTTCCTTTTGTCCCCGATTGATTTTACTTTTGCCAGCAGACGTATGATAGGTGAATGTGTTTGATTCGTGATTTGACTCGACTGATTTGGATAGTGTGCCGGACTGAGTTTCGTATTCATCAGTACAAGTTGTCTACGGTATCGACTAGAAAGTCGAGTGATGTGAAGGGGAACCTTTAAATGTGATTCAATCACAGTAAACAGTGCATGGCTTGGTCGCGACCTGCATAAAGGAATTTTTGTCCACGTGCTTATTTTTCTTACCATTATGTGATTATTCACTACAAACAACTGGAAACGGTGGAATTACTTGGTAATGTCAATGCTGATGATTCCAGAGGTCAACCGGAGGAAGCCGCAGTGGTGCTGTCAACAGTTTCGGAATACATGCTTCTATGTACGGAGCCTTGTTATTGACTTGCTACTGCTATCAAATAGACGGAAACAAGAACGTGGCCTGCACATCAGCTGCTTAGTTGTTTTTGTTTTGCAACGTCAGAGCTAAAATATTAGATAACTATTAGATAGGCATTGGGCCATTGCTTGTCATTGGATTGCTATTGTTATTGAATATACTGGGACAAAAGCACTGCATATACATCAGCCGACTAGATGTTTTTGTTTTGCAGCGTCAGAGCTAAAATATTAGATAACCATTAGACAGACATTTCCCTTCGTCACGTGAAGTGGATTTGGAGAAACACAGTGGATAATGTTGTGTTATCGATATTGGCTCCCTTATTGAATAGTTTCTTTGTGTTCCCATTCCTGTGGGTGCGATGGAGGCCTTCATCATAGAACGTGATGATAATTCGTGGATTATACTTAGTTTTTCTCATCACAAGAAAGTGAGATTAAGGGACAGCGAGGATCTCAATGTCAGAGGTCGGTTTTAGAAACCCAAGAAAGGAGGACACAGGGTTGAAGTACGATTAACAGGCTTTTTTTGGTGCACCAAGCATTTTTGTGTTTGTCTGGAAAAGCCCGGTAATCCGAATCAGACGATTGGAGAGAGAAATCACGTGAATTTAGGGATGACGATTTGAGTTGGCTACCACCTGTCCGCCCCTCCAAGAGGAATATCGCACTACAATAGGTCGTTTTCAAGGCCACATACTGCTACCACCTGTCCGCCCCTCCAAGAGGAACATCGCACTACAATAGGTCGTTTGCAAGGCCACATGCTATCCTACGATGAAGTCCTATGTATTGGGTGCTATACTATGCCTTACTATCCTACGATGACTTCCTATGCAAGCAGCTCGCATATTCTCCGAACAGATGGGTTCCTTGACCAAGAAGCAAACGTGAGCGGAAGCCTAATAACTGCCACAGAAGTTACCCGAAGTGGTAAGTTCTGTAGCCCCAAAATATTCTGGAAACCCTACACTTTCTCACGCAGGTCACAGGCGTATTTATATTTGACCTACGCAGCTGGTAAAAATTGGCCAGCATGATGACGCAAAAGCATGCTAATTGGCGCGTCACACTGAAGCGGACTCATTTTAATCGCAGACTTTTCTCTAGTAATATATCAACGACTTTTTGCAATATAAACGAGTCTAAATTGCTGCACGACTGCCCCGGATCCAACGTACCTGAACAATTACTCTCCTAAGGCCCTGGTTTGTTTCGTACGATTTGCTCACCGGCGTTGTGAAGACACCCACATTCGCCGATGGTCGAATTGTTTACTGGGTCTTACAATTTCGTTGCAAACCTTTGATCACCTATTAGGGCGACATCATCAGTGCTTCAGTGGCGCGTGGTGGTTTTACAGTGTATCACTGTGTAGGCCCGTACACCAAGCAAGACGGCGACGAAACATTTGCAACCACACTTTTCAGCTCAACGAACGTTCCAACGGCCCGATTTGCAAACTAAACTACGAGAATTCTCTTTGATAGCATATTCGGGATTGCTATCCTACTTTGCATCATTACGATGACTAGCTCCTGTGACTGTAAGCATGCCCCATGTATGTCACGAGTTTCAACTCAGCACGCACGACGATCGCCGTGAGGTCGGTGCGTATTTCGATCGAGTTCACTCCTGTCTTCCGTAATGAATACCACTAGCTGTTTGAAGTTCCAAAAGATCGACATTGAATATGATTGGAGTAAGTTAGGTTTTAACCGACCTCCAGAGCCACATCGCTAACTTTTCAGGGAAAAACAGAAATGTCGCCTCCTACTCGTCTTCTAGGTTGCTTCTAGGAGCTACTGCAGTCAGTGCTGTTGGCGGTGCACAGTGGGTTGTGTTATCCCAAAGCAGCATTGGCATACATTGTGGTTACAGTCGGTTATGCCAGCAATTAGGGTGATCTTCAATTGCCCCTGGTCAGCTATATCAATTAAGCGATTTAACGTGGACCCTAAAGACTAGGCCGGGAAGGTAGATAAAGATAAGATAATCATTCAGCTGTAACACCCTAACTGCCTAACTGCCATGTCACCCGAAGAAAGCACAAGGGCTGGGATACTGCCAGGTTGCCAAAGCCTGGATGGGGGGAACCTAAATGCGGAGGTCGGGTTTGAACCACGGACCTTCCGGTCAGTAAATTAGCGCTCTAGTCACCGAGCCATCTTATCATCTCGAGAGAGTCGGACTCGTAACCTACCAGGAGGTACTAGATGACTAGACCGTTGGGTCATGAGTGACATGGTACATCCGAACTCTGATTCAATCCCCGATTTCCATTCTGCTCAATAATTATCCCTCAATGGAAGGCTTTTCTGGCATTGTTGTTCCGGCTTCCCATTTCATCTTTACGCTGACCGTTGGATGAAATGAGGGATCCGAGGCATGTGGGACCTTAGCTGTTGGAGTTATTGAGTTTTCCATCATCTACGTTGGGTTGATGGATTTTAAATTCGTACTGCAGACCACTCGTGCTAGTCTACTGAGTGGATACTTAAGGCTGTCAAAGATGTTGCCGAAGAAACTGACATCTTCAGGGTGGTGTTGGTCAGATATCCAGAAGGTATGGCTTATTCGGAGTCCCTGGTAATCCCCACAAGCTTACTCAATTTTTGGGTCAGTGGCGTGGTTAAAAAGGACTGGGAATATCAAGCGTTGCTATTGCACGTTTGGACGTAGAATCGGGTCGCCGGATCCCGTGCACAATGGGTTGTGTTATCCCAAAGCAGCGTTGGCATACATTGTGGTTACAGCCGGTTATGCCAGCAATTAGGATGATCTTCAATTGCCCCTGGTCAGCTATATCAATCAAGCGATTTAACGTGGACTCTAAAGACTAGGCCGGGAAGGTAGATAAGGATAAGATAATCATTCAGCTGTAACACCCGCAAAGGGAATGTGCTAGATGCTGAGATCTTCAATTCGGACTTTGTCCTGACAGTATCCCAGCCCTCGTGCTTCTGATAGTTTTTTATGCGAAAGTCGACTAAACACGCTACCTTCGGTTACGAAAGTTCGATTAGCGCTCTAGTCACCGAGCCATCTTATCATCTCGAGAGAGTCGGACTCGTAACCTACCAGGAGGTACTAGATGACTAGACCGTTGGGTCATGAGTGACATGGTACATCCGAACTCTGATTTAACCCCCGATTTCCATTCTGCTCAATAATTATCCCTCAATGGAAGGCTTTTCTGGCATTGTTGTTCCGGCTTCCCATTTCATCTTTACGCTAACTGTTGGATGAAATGAGGGATCCGATGCATGTGGGACCTCAGCTGTTTCAGTTATTGAGTTTCCCAGCATCTACGTTGGGTTGATGGATTTTAAATTCGTACTGCAGACCACTCGTGCTAGTCTACTGAGTGAATACTTAAGGCTGTCAAAGATGTTGCCGAAGAAACTGACATCTTCAGGGTGGTGTTGGTCAGATATCCAGAAGGTATGGCTTATTCGGAGTCCCTGGTAATCCCCGCAAGCTTACTCAATTTTTGAGTCAGTGGCGTAGTTAAAAAGGACTGGGGATATCAAGCGTTGCTATTGCACGCTTGGACGTAGAATCGTGTCGTCGGATTCTGTTCGCAGAGGCGCCTGGTATCTTCTGATATTGTGTCTTTGATGATACGTGAGGTGTACCGCGTTATTTAGGGCGGAAGCTTCAGCTTAAACCACTGGGTGTCAACTTATCCTGAACCTTCCATCAATCAGGGTGTGAGTGCATTTGCTTCGAGAGCGCGAATTTACCGACCGGAAGTTCGTGGTTCGAACCCGACCTCTGCATCTCGACTTCCCCTGTCTAGGCTTGGGCAACCTGGCAGTATCCCAGCCCTCGTGCTTCTTTCGGATGGCATGAGACACCGAAAGGGTGCTACAGCTGATAGTTTTTTATGCGAAAGTTGACTAAACACGCTACTTTCGGTTACGAAAGTTCAAAGCGATGTTTCAGCGTTCGCACCAAGATGAATATCTAAAAATACTCTATCGCGTCAAAATCCTAGATGATAGTGGAATAGAAGTATTTCCCCGACTTTAGGTACTCCTGATTTGCAAGTAGAATAAAACAGTGGGCGAGGAGGGTCAAGCAGCGTTGTAGTGCGTGTCTTGTGTTTCTCAGCAGGGATATCGTCCTCTCATGGGCATTCTTTGCTTTCCAAACGTCTGCTGGTTATAATAATCTTACCTTTCCACAACCCGGTGCAGTTCATATCGTGTGGACCAAATTTGTTGGTTGCGGACTGGATAGATGGGCAGTTGAGCAATTAACTGAAGTACTTCGCTCGTGGGGAGATTTGTATGTCAGTATCTGGGATGTGTTCACTGTTTTAGTTTTGTACAAGTTTGGTTACTTTGGGTGCCGCGCATCAGGCAGATCAACTTAAGGGGCATTTCCCGCTTTTCGAGCCACCTCTCCGTTGACAGTTGCAACCAACGCGGGAAGCTGGTGTCACCCCCCCTAGACGGTGTTAATTTGAGGAATTGTGAGACTATGTTTTTCTCAGTTCGCAGAGGCGCCTGGTATCTTCTGATATTGTGTCTTTGATGATACGTGAGGTGTACCGCGTTATTTAGGGCGGAAGCTTCAGCTTAAACCACTGGGTGTCAACTTATCCTGAACCTTCCATCAATCAGGGTGTGAGTGCATTTGCTTCGTTCCAGTGGTGGTCATCGTTTGAGTGAATGGATTTCGAGGTGCATCAGACGACATCGCTTCAGACATGTGGTTGGGTGGAGTCTGAACCATGCACGGAGAACCGTATGACCCGACCATCCTTTCTTGCCAGCCTCTCCTCGGTACTATCTGCGGTCTTTCAGTTAGGAAGCCAGGCGAGGCCAAACCAGAATGTAAAGTTGGTGGGAAGTACTATGTCACGAAATAATTTCTCGGGTGTTGTAAGCGTATAGTGGGGACGCACTCTCGGTTTAATTTTTCAGAATTTTATAGGTACTTGCGGTGTTAACTTCATTAAACCTGACAGAATCGTTCCAGTCTGTGCACGTCATATCGTCAGTTTGGCTGTTCCGAAGGTTTTAGTTATCAGCTATTGCGAGTGTATCGCTTCTGGATACGTGGTTCATGGCACTTGGTTAGATAGTTCATCTTTGGTTGAGTGATCTGATAGTGGTGTCGGGCCATAGACCGAGATGATGGTGAGGTTGAATAGATAGCCTTTAGGCTATGCTGCCTGGATCCCGTGAGATATGAGTCTAGGAGATAAAAGCCTCATTGGCCATGGGTCTTAGGTCCAATACAAGCCCATCTTGACCGGAACTGTCGGTCTGTGTGGAGTGCTGCAGCTAGCGCGCTAAATTAGCACTCTGGAGCTTGTTATGTTTCAATCCCCGGCTAAGAAGTTGAACTTCTGGCAGACGGACGATGTCACTGTGGTACCCATATAGAGCGCAGAATGGCCAGTTGGTTTCCGATGTGCGGAAGTGTTCCGACATATCAGCACCCAAAGAAGAGGTGTTTTCGCATTTTAAAGGACGCAGCTTGTAGGTCGTTCGCACCAGCCACTAGGCTTGTAGAAGGTGAGCCATTTGCTAGCTTGTTGTGAGGTAACATATTAGTGGGCTTTGACAGGAATGTAGCGGAGAAATTCCGGCCCCAGTCTTATTCAACCTTTTGTTCGGGGACGCACCTCTGGCCTCTAATCTGCAAGACTGCAGGAGAAACGTGCGAGCTCTGCAAAGGCTGGTTGGATAGCATCGTTTGAGTTTCAATTCTATCCTCGCTGATCTGTGCTCATGCTGCTGTCAGTTTGCAATCAGTTTCCCAACTCACCTAGCCAAACAAACAGCCAGGCTGTAGCGTTTGACATTCGCTTTCACCCTTTCACCTTGGTGAAACCACTTCCGCTACGAGAAGTCATCGTATGAGACCTCTTTCAGTAGGGTGTTTTATTGGACCCCAAAGGACAAATTCACTTGTTTTCGAAGGAACCTACCTCCGATTATCCTGGAGCACTTGGAGATCATCTTGATCGATCACTGATCTTTTGATCAGTAGTTTTTAGTGTTAAACCACTAGTTACCAGGTGGCGTCGTTCAAAAGGGCTCGCTAGAATCTCTTGAAGCTGACGCATATACTCGCTATTTCTCTCTATCTAAATTGGAGTTTGACCTTTTGCTACTACTGAAATAGTGAACATTGTTCCGGTAGCTGGCGTGTTCAACCAACAAAATAAATGCGGAAAAATGATCTTGTACCTGGTTTGAAACGGTTTGTTTCATGAGATAGACGCGCGCATGTCAAGCATCGTGAGTCATATTACTGCGTCTGGTGGAGCCATGGGTTTCTTACCTCCGTTTTTAAATGCTGTTTTTTAACGCTTATGATTTGGGCATCAAATCCACGTTCTAGTGAAAGTGAGAAGAAGAGGCATGCTAATGTTTTGTTTATCTCTTACCATGCGAATTGCGACTGCTCAAACTCCACGGTATGGAAAGACCCCCTAGCTTCGGACAATGCCAGCAATAGTCAGGAAGCTACTTTGTAATACATGTCGTAGGCCTGCTTTAGGTGTATTTGAAAACCAACTGTCTAGCGCAATCTACCGCAAGAAACTAACCAACTTTGCCACCCAGTTAACACGCGAATGTTGGAGGGCTTATCTTTATCCACTTCGCTCCTTGATCCCCTCTGTTTAGCTGCAGTTTGAGTCAACTTTACTACTTTCGAGCACCGTTACGGATTAATTCCACCCATCCTCTTTTCAACCAGATTATTTCGTTGCTCAATGCGTTCACTCCTCAGAAGACATTAGAAGATTTTCAAGACGTGTACCTTGTGATGGAGCTGATGGATGCCAATCTGGGTCAAGTACGTTTCGATTTGTCTTCATTATGGGACTATAACGTGGTCGCGCCGGACCGCATTTTCTAGACTTGTTCTACCTTTGTCAGGCCTCCTGTTTGTTTCTCCGTCTTCTGTCATGTTAGAAACAGTTTGTCCGACTCAGTTTGACAATACTACAAGTAACGCAGTTTTCGCATACCAGGGCGGTCAGCACGACGCATGGATATTGGCTGTTTACTTAACTTTGCCAAGAACTTGAAATTTGTTTATCTGTAGCGCTCTTCTGATGTGATGCAGCCTCACAGCCAAATCCGTTTGCTTATGTACTGTTCGCCGTGTATTGTGACTTTGGAAATGCTAGGCAAATTAGTTGGTGAGGGAAAAGTACCGTAACATCGAGTTGATCGTGCGCAGCTTCACGGTTGTATTGGAGAAGTAGTCGTTAACAGAAGGATCGTTAGAGAAAGGAATGTACGTCATACTTTCATTAAGAATGATCGGTTCGAACCCTCCGATTGGAGAACCGGTCGAATTCAAGCTTATTCATACCCCAAAAGATCAAGCGAATGCACTCCATTAGATGAACCAGAGAACCACGGTAGGCGACTTCTAGAAAGCATTTTAGATTGCTGCGACGATTTGCTAATGTCACAGTCCGTACAACGTAGTACGTAGTCTCACCAATGTACCTGTTGTTTTTATGTAACATGTAGAAAGCCGGACTGTTACTCAGCCGGGCGCGACTCTAAGCGTGGACCTTGTGGGTCTTGAAGTCTTCCTTGGTTCACTGTGACATGAGCTTATACGCATGAACTTGACACCCGAACTTCCTTCTTCCCTCTTGAATAAGACTTTGAAAAGAAGCGAATTGGAGCGAATAAACCTCCCACGGGCTCCGACTATTTCTTCCCTCTTGAATAAGACTTTGAAAAGAAGCGAATTGGAGCGAATAAACCTCCCACGCGCCTCCGACTATCTTATTACAGGTGGGCTCACTGTCATAATTCATTGACCATGATGTGTAACCCAATCAAGTGGATGCTGACCGGTTCTTCCAAAGAGTGGCAAGTGTGTATCTTCGTTAGTTATTGTAGTTCGAGAATGGCTAGATGGGAGACTGCCTGCAAATCTGCACCGATTGGTTAGTTTTTTCCTCTGTTAGCTGGATATTAAGCGCTTAAGGTCACGTAGCGAAGGCAAGTACAGCTTGCCCAAGTGGATAAGCTTGGTGAGCATGATAACACTGGCCGGCTATTAGCTCATAGTCACCTGCCCCGTTTGGTTCGAGTCACAGAGTGGTAAGTGCCAACGGGACTCGCTTGGTGTAACATATTTGTGTGTTGGATTGCTGGTAAAAAGTTTGGTTAGCCATCTTTTCACTATTCAGGGTGTATTGTATTTCATACACCCTTGTACTCCAGCTGTAACGTTTTACGTCTGAAGCGCCGCGATTAATGACCTTGAGATAGCTGTGAGATCAAAACGTGAAACGCTGACCAGAAGGCTCGTGGCTTGAACACAATCCAGGTTTTTTGATCACTTCTGTCTATGATTTGGCTTCAGGGCTCTAATTACCATCCACATCAACAAACCATATGTTACGCATTTCTTATTTTCCATAAATCTTTTATGCTGACGTTCTGCAGAGATTAGTTTTCTCCTTGCAATCCAAACTTCATTAGTGGGAACAGTATTCTACCTTCCCTAAATTTTACCATTCTCTCCTCATTGGTTCAGGTTTCGCTGAAGTTTTCTGCTGAAAGCTCTATTCACACCCTGTATATTTATTCTTTGGGGCCTTAAGACACTCAAGCTTCACTTAAGAGCTCAAGATAGCCCACTGGTTGAGGCCGGAACTTACTAAGCGGAAAGTCCGTGGTTCACGCTCAACCGTGGCCTCTCGACTGCTTCTGTCTAGACTTGGGGAGCCTGTCAGTACCTCAGTCATCGTACTTCCTTCGGATAGCGCAGCAGCTAGGGACCGAAAGGGTGCTACAGTCTATTTACTATTATCATTATTTACAGTGACTTATGGTCATAGCATAGTTAAATGATTTCACTCCATTGATTGATTATGTTCTTTTTATCACGTGCTTCACCGCATGTCTGTATTGCATTACGTCAGTAGTTAAATACCCGCATCATTTTTCTGTACAAGTCATCTATGTTTTCTGTCGTTTTCTCCAGTATTGGGCAGATAAGCGGACCGGCCGTTGGTAATCGAGTGTTTCTACGCTTCACAAATATTTGCCGTGTATTTTACGTGTGACGCCTTAATCGTTTTACCATTGTTTCACCTTGGTGGTTTTTTTTGCTTTGTGTCTCTCAACACAAGTTATTACCCTTTTGTTACCAATAGCTACGTTTCGGCTGACAGCAATTTCTTCAAGCCAATAGGTTGCACACATCAACTTCATTTTACTGGGTGGTGTGGGGTTGCAACTAGCCGAGAGTTCAGCGCTCCGTTTTCACTATCGGGTGAAGAGCCCAGCTTGTCACGAATTCCGTGGGCGTCGCTCTGTTTTATCACATTTCAATAATGTGTTCTGATTTCCCGACTGGTTTCCTGATAACTTGTTCCGTCAGATTCGATATGTATAAGGTACCCTCGAATCGAAATAACACTGAATGCGAAACCTATAATGCAACTGTTTGTTTTCCTGTTCGCTCTCCGTTTTCCCATAGGTCATTCACATGGAGCTAGATCATGAACGGATGTCCTACCTACTCTACCAAGTGCTTTGTGGTCTAAAGCACTTGCATGCAGCCGGAATTATTCATCGTGATCTTAAACCCAGTAATATTGCCGTACGACATGACTGCAGTCTGAAAATCCTCGATTTCGGTCTGGCCCGCGCAACGGGGAACAGTTTCACTATGACTCCTTACGTGGTCACCCGGTAAGTGGATATCAAAATCTGCAGCGTGACACTGTGTGAGAGAGGCAGGCACGAATGAGGCACGAGGGCTGGGATACTGTCAGGTCGCCCAAGCCTAGACAGGGGAAGTCGAGAGGCAGAGGTCGGGTTCGAACCACGGACCTTCCGGTCAGTAAATCCGCGCTCTAACCACTTGGTCCATCTCGCCCCCTGTGTGAGAAGTACATAGGCTTATAGAAACTTTTTAACAGATTGAATGTTGCACAGTTTGTGGACACCATTGATATAAGGCGCTACTCAGAGTGTGGTATACTTGTACCCTCGGGGCGAACAGTCAGATTTCCAATTTGATGGTTTGCGCCGCGCAATGGTTCATACTCAACACACTTTTGAAAACGGCGAGAGAGCCAAATTTTCAGCTTAATACTTGCTGACACAAGCTGGCGTCACATGCATGACAGATAGGGTATTTTGGTACTAGCAAAAATGTCCCTTGATTCTCACTCTTCGTATAATTCGAAAGTAGTTTATTGTAATCCTATGCTACTTGGAATTGAAACTCGCTGTTTTTCTCCTGTAAGATTAGCATGTTGTGTTTGCGAACCAACAAATCTCAGTAATACGATCCTTCTTCGATTACGATAACCTTGTTCTTAATGATCTCACAAGTCGCGTCGATATTTAATAAAGGTACGTGTTTCGTTTGCTCAACTCACCATACTGTCAGTGTGATCGCCATGGCGTCGAATATTTCTATCCACATAACCATGAGCGCACCTGGCACTGTACTGGGACAACGATTTCGTAAGCAACGTCTGCTGACCTTACAAAGCAGGCGGGCAGTCGGCCGACCTTTACTAGCGAGAATGTAAGTTTACCTCGCTGTTCGGTCGTTTTACATCAACGGTTGGAGCGTTTTGAATCGCGCATCATTTGGGACTTTCTTTTAACACTTCGATCGTGCTGGAGACGGAAGTTCAGACCCAATGATTCGCTCACCTTTAGGAGTTCTAACACAGAGTTCACTGCATAGTTCGTGTTGCGGTTAGAGACACTAGTTCAAACAACTCAGGACAGAAGTTTGTCGCTTTGCTATTGTCGGATGTTGTGCAGTCCACTGATTTTTTTTAATATTCCCCTTCCGAAAGTTGTAATATGAATAGCATCAGCGTTTACCGTTCAGCCGTAGTTGATTGTACCTGTGGTTTATTGCTGATCCGTAGGCAATACATCAAGTGCTTTTTGAAGCGATGTTCCTGATGAGGGGCACTACTGCATGCAGAAGCGTGTGAGTGTGACAAAACTTAACCACTCAAGCGCACGTGACAGTGACACGATTGGCGTAGTTGAGTTGACAACCGAGCGAATGCACACAGCGGGCCGGAATGCGTTTCTGGATTGGTTTGTCACATGGACCTGTGCCGATGGATCCTCGTGCAGGATCGGTAATACTGTTTGTGGTTTGCCGTGGGCTGCCATCTGAATGCCTTCTATCCGATGAAAACCAGTGGGAATAAGACCTGAGAGTTAACAGAAGGCGCGATTCCGAATTCACCAGAATGTATCATTGATGGTTCATAACTACCCAGTAATGTGGGGGGTACAAGTAAACCGCTGAAAACCGCAATGTAAGCGGAGAATTGCATCATCCGTAAGTCGAATCCAACACATACACATACGAGTGATTAGTGTTGACTAATGGACAGCTTATTCTCACAGAAAACCTACTCTGTAACCTTTGTGGTCCTGACACACTGGAATGTACATAACGCTAAGATGGGTCGTCTACAGTCGCAGATGGATACCGTTGACCTCAGTAGTGTATGTTTTGAGTGGACATTGTGCCTAAGCTTAGAGTCACACCCGCATGACGTTCTTCGTTATCCAATAAAGGGTTACACAAAAAAATGGACGCATGAGTACACACGCTGCGGTCACACTTGAGGGTGTGATGGCTGATATTGGCTAATTCATCAGTGCACGGTTGTGCATAGTCGGAATACCACAGTCAAGCTGTATAAGCCACTGAGGCGATGTAGGCCGGAGGAAATAAGACCGGTGAGCGAACTTGTATGATGGATTTGTTGTATGCCATCACCTGGCCCAAAGCCGACAGTATAACAATGAGCACGGGCCTTCGCACCCCCGAGGTAGCAGGAACAATTAAATCATACCGTTTCGCAATTATTCGCTTGGGTACTTGGCGTATAACGTTGAACGCAGGTTTCAGGCTGATAAAAGATGATTGCTTTAGGAGCATAGTCAGGCCAAAGAGCCCAACCCAGATTCATTATTGCATCGATTCCAAATTCTGCTGCGCACACTGACACCCAGGGTTCCATCATAGCGTGAGGAGTCGTTGATGAGGCGGAAAAAATTGTCCAAATGGTTGAGCTTTCTTAGAGTGGTTTCCGATATCTCTCTGTCGATGGATTTGTAGGCTTTGTTGAAGTCCACAAACAGTCCATGGCTCGTTTGGTTACTTCTCTTGATTATTTTTTTCACCGTGAGTGTGAGACGGCTTCTTAGATGTCCCGATTAATCAAAAGCGGCCGTTAGTGACAAGCTCCAACAGACATCGATCCACTGTTGGCTCCTATGTCGTAGGCTGTGGGCAGCCTGCAGACCCAGATGTTCAACATCGGGCTTAGCAATGATTATGGCAATGCGAACAGCAGTCCAAACCACTTGGGTCTGTTATTGCATCTGGTGTTCTGGTCGAGCAATGGCAGATAATCAACAGTGGACTTCTTCATTCGATGCGTGATCTTAAGGAAGTCGTTGTCTGAGGATGTTTCTCACACATCAGTGGATGAAAATATCACAAGTCTCTGAGATACGCGTCGGTCAGGTTTGGCACAAATAAAGTAAAGCAGGTTGGATATATTCGAACCTTACTCTCCGGAATGGTTGATTTTCTGTTCCAGAGCTCGATTGTAAAAACGTTCTGCGAGCAGTATTCAAGCGGGTCTTGACTTTATTCATATCCTGGACTTTCGGAATATTGATTGGGCCGAGGTACCTGAATTCGCAAACACATAACGCTGCTTCGTTTTCATTACGTAGTTTGTAAGGTTTGAGTGCTGACAAGGCGCCGAGCTCAAGGCTGAGGTAAGAAACGCCCTATCAGAATCCATTGTGGACGTGCTGCAGACTATGGTGAGGACAGTGTATCCGTGATGGGTACACTTTATCTAACCTCACTGTGCGCTGTTCGTTGACAGTTCGGTGCACTGCCTATTGAACCGCTAAATCTAACAATCTAGAAAACTTCGGCCAGCCGTGTCGAACCTCAAACATTAAATATTGACGATTCTCCGACCTACATAAGGACACGCGCTCGTGGTCGTGTGGTAAGGCCTCGAGAACTTTTTCTGTAGAAGGGTAGAAGAGTAAGTCCTCTCCAATCTTCTGGTAACAATTCGCTGTTCCAGAATGAACAAAATAGTTCCCCGAGTGATACCGGAAGGGCGATAGCGCATACCTTGTATAGCTACGCAGGGATGCCATCTTCACCATATTTCTGCGGTGGTTTAAAAATCCATTAGCCCCACAGTCAACCCCGTACTACGATGCAGTGAACTTTGTGGTGAGAGGAGGCTCATGCTGTGGTCGAGGAGCTGTTTAAAATGTTCTGCCTATTAGCGGAGCTCCCCTCCGGTATGATTACTAATTTCGCCGGATGAAGTATGTAGAGTGGACTGAGCAGGTGATAGTTTTCCGTAGGCTTTTCACGGAAAGCGAAATGGCTTTGCGTAGTTATCCTCATTTGACACAATCCCTTGGCTGGTCTTCGTGTTGGTCCGAGAAGCAAGTCCGGTAGTTTCTGGTAGACTGGGTTACTTGGCGTCGAAACGTTCTGTAGTTCGGCGCGTTGGATAATCCCCCAAGCCTGGCGTAACAACTGCCTAGTGAGTTATGAGGTATATTCTTCCTGTTGACGTGGCATAATTCTTGGGTGACTAATAACAGTATCGTGAAGTACATCAACCTTAGGCGTCCATCGACATTAAGCGCTTCGGGGCACTGCCAATTCTCCGTTGATGTTAATAGATAGAGGTTGTTTCTCATCCGGGTACTCTAGGGGGGTGGTATTGTAGTTCCCAACAGGATAAGTTATCAGGCAGAGCCAAAACTTCAATTGTATGAGAGTGTGATCTGCCCTTCTTGTTCCCCGCTACTGTTCTTCCGAAGGAACAAGGATCCTGTACGCGTGAAATCCATCTAGATCCCGCTAAGATGTAGTCACTCTAGTGAGGTAGTTGGCAATGGTTTGAGTACCAAGTTAACTGGTGCTTCTTAGGATATTGAAAGTGCGTGCTGGTGACTCATAACCTGCTGAATTTAGCAAAGTTAATCTTATTACCATGTTTTAGTGACGTCCGAACCCATACCTTCTGGCAATGTAACGCTTCCTCTTATGAACCCGATGCTTTTAATCACAGCCTCTTTGAAATGGTCCTGGACCGTGGTCCACTATTCTTAGGAGAATCAATGGTATACGCAGTTTGAAAAAGTGCATAGTGGTTGAAAAGGAAACGAAAGGTCCAACAGTATGCAGATTGGTGTTGTCACAAAGATTTCGCTGGAGTACTGAAAGAAATCCATTAACCAAAAACGCAGTATCCTCAGTGTGTCCAGGACACCTGAACCTTTCGAAAGCCCAGCATGTCTGAAGACATATTGGGTACATGGAAGACACTTCTAAACCATACCTGTCAAGCTATCCAACGGAGATTTAGACTTATCCTGTTACAAATGTGGGCTTTTCCTATCCACTTAGGAAGACTGAACTTCGTGGATTGGTGGTTGAACTCCGGTTTGACGAACCTGCCGCACAACCATCAACTCATCGCTACGCTTCACCACGCTCCCTAGCAACGCACTGATGATGTCACTTCGATTGGTGATGAAGCGTTCGCAATCAAATTACCCAGCTCAGCGAACAAACCAACGATCATCATCAAACCCCCTTAGTCCAGTTTGAAGGTCCGCGCACATTCTTGTGAAAGGGATGAAACTAATTTGCGTACCTGTGCCCGCTTTGTTCGATCTCGATCTGACTACGATTCGTGTAGAAGCCTTCTGTGAGTCCGAAGATGAGGTACCGATTCCCTACCGTCCGGACACTTCATGGCCAAAACGAAGCTGCGTTCTACGGATGGTTGCTTTAGTTGTGTATTCGGAGGCGAAATTACAGCGGCTGACCACATTCCCCTTGACGGCATGCAGTTTTGGTCTGAATATAGGTGCTGTCCAAACCCTTCATCAACTTACATGGAGTCACCACACCCTGCATTCAAACTAAAGCCCGAGGCGTAGCGTTTTGTATTGCCTTCGACCACTGCACTGATAAAGTGTACTGAACTGAATGCTAAGGTTATCCAGGCAAACGCTGCATCCGGTCGTTAAACGCTCTCGCAGCAACTGCGATCAGCGCGCAAGCACCAATATATATATATATATATATATATGCATCATGTGTAATATAATGTATATCACATCATTATATTGTGTGTATTATAACGTTTAATAATGTGTCTAAGTAGCATACCAACATGCAGGCACCTTCCTAAGGGGAGTTCTTTGCTGGAACGCAAAAATTCTCAACACTGAACATTTCCACCTCTTTTTATCTTATTCACTACAGGTACTATCGAGCTCCCGAAGTCATC